GATCTTGTGAAACAGAAGCAGAATTCTTAAAGCTGGTAAAACCTAACCAAGATTGGAGACTTGTTTTGTTTTTCCCCCAAGATTCTCATTTCTGAACTTTTATGCTAAAATCAAATTAAAATATTAGAATACAGAAAGACATGAATCGTTTATCTTTATGAGTTATATGTTATCCTTAAACTTCTTTTTTAGTGCTATCTTTCTTAATAGTATATCATTTTGAAATATTACAACTTTTATTTATTTTTATAATTCTCTTACTATCACTCTCTTTCATCCTTAATAAATAAATTTTTAAATGTGTAAACCATGTGTCATGCAAGGCAAACATTTTGGAGTTGCTGTGATTTTAATTGCTGTGATTTAATACATACAGAGTATAATATATATATAATTAAATTGTATATGTATGTATATATATATATATATATATATACACATAGTCAACTATTTTACACTGTTTACATTATTAATCACTTTTGTTTTCCTTTTTAATATATTTTTCTTCATTTTAATTCTCAGTACTCCTATCTTAAGAAGAGTTGAACCACATAAAATGACTTTGTGCATAATTATAATTTTCAGAATTTAGTGTTTACATATATTTTTCTTTTTAAATCTAAGCTATATAAGATTTATTCTTGTTTCAGTATACATTGCAAGGATCACAATGTCAATATTTTAGTCATTTGACTACAAATGTGTTTTATTTAATTGGTACCTTGAGTAGTCACAGAAATACTGCATACTTGTCTCATCCCTAAAATATAATAAACTTATGTTTGAAAAGATGATGTTTAAAACAACAGAACTGTTAAGTTCAGAGTTCTTATTTCGTAGAACTTAATGTTTGTTGCTTTTTTCTTTCTTTTTTTTCATCTTGATTACAGGCCCTCCTTGCTTGAGATTCACATAAAACTTTGATAGTCATGTGCAGATCACATGTTGGGTAGCAAAGCATGTTTAGGTGAATATTTTGGGTGCAGCAATTTTACTTAAAAAGAAATTACAATTTTTTTTTTTTTAACCACAGATACAGGCTAGATTGTCAAGTCTTTAAATGATGTTTAATTATACTGTGACACAGTTATGAATTATAAGGAAAAATATGTTAACCTAAGTTTAAGTATATGCATGTTAGCCATGAGCTTTTTTGATTGAAGATATAAAAATAGAATTCAGATCTTTTAATAGCCAGGTAGTTTTCTAGATTTTAAATGAAAGCGTAAACACAGTTGTTTGTGAAGCAGAATCATTTGTCTAGTGACTTAGCAGACACTCAATTTTAATAAATCTGTCCTGAAAAACTAATTTATTAAAAAAAATAGTCACCTAAATATAAGCTATTATTGTAAATACTTCTGAAATATGTAATTATTGGAAGAAACTTTAGAGAATGATAGTTTTTGCTTCTTTTTTTTCCTTTTTTTTTTTTTTTTTTATAACCAGAGATGTTGAACCCAGKGGTGTTTTACCACTGAGCACATCCCCAACCCCTTTTTTTTTTTTTGAGAGAATTTTTTAGTATTTATTTTTTAGTTTTCGGTGGACACACCATCTTTATTTTATTTTTATATAGTGCTGAGGATGGAACCCAGCACCCTGCACATGCCAGGTGAGCGCACTAGTCCGCTTGAGCCACATCCCCAGCCCCCAAGCCCTTTTTATTTTTTATTTTGAGGTAGGGTCTCACTAAGTTGCTGAGGGCCTCACTAGATTGCTGAGGCTTGCTTTGAATTAGTGGTCCTCCTGCCTCAGCCTCCTGAGACGCTGAGATTACAGGTGTATGACACCACAGCCCACAACAGCTTGTTTTTAAAGGAAATATTTGCGACCAAAGTTCAAGAATTTAATTTGAATAGTTAACAATCATCATTTCCTTAATAATGTTGTAGTTTGTCAGTATGTGGATTATCCATCTCACTTGATAGTGCCATCTGTGTTAGGAGATATACYGGTGCTAAATTATGGGCACAAAAGAAGTAATAATAATTTCATATAAATTCTTATAGTCAACAGCAATATTCAAATATTAGCATCCAGTGTGGGGGAACATGATACCGAATAAACTGCTTATTGATCATGAAAATTTAGGCATTGAGAAGAAAGGCAGCATTAGATTACGTAATTTTAAAGTCACAAATACATCTTTTAAAATTGTTTTTATCCTTACACTGTTCAAAACAATTTTAATTATTAACCTTAATGATATTCTAAGGAATTCATGACCCTTTTCTTGAAGTGTCTCTTAAATTCAATAAATTTCTAAGATACATTTATCAACGTGAAATAATGTTAACATAGTTTGCCTAACATGAATATCAAAAGAAAAGTAGGTGTAATTACTATAATTAGTGTTGGAGATTAGAACACAAAGACATACCTTCAACCTAACCAGCTTTCCACAACAATAGAATGGTATTTGTTTTCTAATATTATATAAGAAATTATCACAACTTTGGCAGCTTAAAATTCCCTTTGTTAATGCTCCTGTCCACACTTCAGAAGAGAAGGCCTCCTGTTATTGGGCTTTTGATCAGGGTTTCAGAAGGCTAAAATCCAAAAGCTTTGTTTCTAGAGGCCTTGGAAATGACCCTGTGTCTAGGTTCTTCCAGGTGGCAGGTGTTTTAGGACTCAAGTCCCCCTTCCTTGTCATAGTCTACTCTTAGCTTCCAGAGGCTTCTCACATCCCTTGCCAGATAGCCTCCTCCATTTTCAAAGTCAGCAACAAAGAATCTCTCTCCTTTTGACTCTCCCTCACACTCTGAATTCTCTGAGTTGAATACAGTGAGTTGCCTCACTTGATGARTGTAGGCCCACTTAAATTGTCTGCCTTTTGATTAACTCAGACTCAACTAACCTGTTCCTGGGAGGAATAGCCCATGGTTGCCCACTCCAGCCAGAGGTTTATTGAGAGATGAGGAATGTTGGGGGTCATCTTAGAGTTCCGCCTACCACTTAGGCAGTGAGATCTCTGGTGTGCATTCAGGAAGTTTAAGATATTGAGTAGGGAAAGAGGGGACTGGGAAATCTGTTAGTTAAAAGGGAATTAAGTTATGGCAAATGAAAGTCATAGAGAAGAGGAAGGGGGAGGAAACTCTTAATAGAAATGCAAAGAAGAAAAATGTAAAATGTAAAATTGATGATTTAATAGGACTTACTAACTCTGTATTGAAGTTTGAAGGGAAAGGACAAGAGGAAATGAATTAAATGAGGTTTATCCTATTTCTGTTAAGTAAATATAAATGTCTATGGCATCGGATGTTGAGAGAGGGGTAAATAAATAATCATACTCTTATCTTTCTATAACTACAAACCAATGTTCAGTGCTGGGGAGCAGATCTCTCAGTCATCAAAATGAATGCAGAATTACTATRGTTAAATGTGTTCTCATGAAGTTATGAGTGTATAAATGTTGACCAAAAATATTGAGTGTTAGATATCTTGGCATGAATACTTCATTATGTGCTTTGCAGTTTGAAGAAATATAATCAGAGGAAATGAATACCCCCCCCTCTTGAAGTATTTGGGTTGCCATTTAGGGCTTTAAAAATTTATAAAATTACACTGCAAATTGAATGAAGGATAGTTTAAAAGTTCTGTTGTCATTATTATTATTATTATTATTATTATTATTATTGTAGTAGTAGTAGTAGTATTTAATCTACTTAAATGGACTTTCATGGCTTGAACACCATAGTGTCTTACTTCTCAGGGTTTTTTTGAGTGAGAGAACGACTGCTCATTTGACAAATAGCATTTATGAATTTTCACTTAACTCTCAAATTGGTGGGTATAAAAACAGATTTATTTTAGAAATGCTAATTTGCCCTTCCCCTCAAGTTTTCTCCCAACATTCAAATCAAAAGAAAGATGTTATTAGCAACATATTTTAGCAGATGTAAAATAATTCAAGATGTAAAGTAATCCGTACCTAATGAACTTGGAATCTGTTACGTGCTATCCTCTGAAAATTCAGAATTCAAGTGAGTATATTTAGGCCCTAAGGTGTTCTGCAAAATTTCTTATATTTTAACATCTTTGATTAATGCTTACTATTTTCGTCATAACAACACATTAAGACCATAACTTTGATCTCATTTTTACATTTTAAGTTCCTTTAGTAATTTCAGTTCATGTGAAATTTTGAGGTTGTGTTGGATGACCCTTCTTCCAAAATTATGGGCCCCTAAGTAAGCATAAGTTTTTAAGATTATTTTGTCAGCTCTGGTTTGAAAGCATTAAGAGTAAGAAGCAGGTAAAAAGCTTTAAATGGCATGTGGTGTGGTGTGCTGATTGACATTTAATAGATCAATAAGAAGAGCAAATAACTTYGTAGTTTATTATTCAATTTCTGCCTCTTTTATCCCCACATTTCTTTTTCTTCAACTATCTCATATTTTCTCATATATGATATTCATACAAACTCTAAATTACTTATTCCCTGAGCTCTGCTGTTTACAATTAGGGTACATTAATCATTATTTGCATTTTTAATTTTTATAATTGTTGAGAGATCATTATTTATTTATATGTGGTGCTGAGAATTGAACTCAGTGCCACACACRTGCCTGGTAAGTGCTCTACTGCAAGCCCCAGCCCCAGCCTCATTATTTGTATTTTTAAAAGCAAAAGTATATGAAGCTTATTTTTATTGTAATATGGTTTATGTTTGATAATTTCTTGGATATTTGAATCTTAACTTTATTGTGATTTTAGGATTCTGCAGAGYTGATGATTGACACTTTGGTAATTAGCTTTAAAAAGATGACTTTGCTATATTATTTAAATAGTAATATACATAGGATTTTATTTAATAATGTTGAAATAACTTTTTTGGATGTGGTTTGAAAAGAGTGGTGGTTGGTTTATATTTTTCACAAGTGTACTAAACACTTGTGTGGGGTAAAATGTGAATAGTGAAAAACACTTATTTTGAAACCTATAATTTTTGAAATGTCTCTTCTAAAAAATGTCCATCTCTTATGTTTTTCCTTTAGGAGTACAAAATCCCCAGCATGAGAGAATTATTACTGTGTCTACAAATGGGAGTATTCACAGCCCAAGGTTTCCTCATACTTACCCAAGAAATATGGTCTTGGTATGGAGATTAGTAGCAGAGGAAAATGTGTGGATACAACTTACATTTGATGAAAGATTTGGGCTGGAAGACCCAGAAGATGACATTTGCAAGTAAGTTAGCATACTTCATCTGGAATTCTGACAGAACTTAACAACTGTTGTCTTTCAAAWTTTTTCCTTGTTGTACTTTGAAATGGTACCTTTGTTTTGATTTTCTAATGAGCTAAGAAAGTTACCACCTTATTTATGCTGTATTTCATTTAGTMTTCATTTAAAATGAGAAGACACATAAATATACATAAACAGTTATTACTTCTATTTCTAAAGTGACTTGTGTTAATTTTTGGTAAAAAAAAGTGTATAAAAAAAGAAAAGGAATAGAGAACAGAAATTCATGTAAAGGAATGCAGTTGTGCTAGAAAACATAAATTAACATTAGTGCTAATAATTTTACATTTGAGCTCCCAGACAACCAAATCAATAAGATAAATATAAGCAATTTAAAGGAAAAGCTGTATCTGTGGGTATATATTATCTAGATGTGCATACTGATCCATAGCTATATCTATTTCTATATATATCTGAATTGATAGATACATGGTATACATACAGAGGTGCTTAAGAACTTTGAATGTTTCATCACAAAGAAAGAGTATAGTTCTGACAGCAGAATTTGAAGTTTAAGCTAGCTTTATTCCATAGGTGGGAATTCATCATAATTCTTATAGCAGCATCCGTGAACCAAAGTCAGCTGGAATTTTTCACCCACGCAAAAGACCACCTACTGTATGTCATACAAATATTACTCTTTAAATCCCATATGAATACACTTGTCAAGGTTGGGTGGTCTTATAGAAGATTTTTCACTTCAGTGGCATTCATGTATCATGAAAATATTTTACTTGAACTTTGTCACAGGGTCCTTTATTTTCTCTTTGATTCACAACTTAAAAGAGAATTATTATTTTATCATATACTATAGATAAATATTTCAATATGCATGAAATAAACTTTGTACTTGCTGTCATCACAATTTTTATCTTTAGCCTTTACATACTGTTTTTCATATTTCTTTGTTCAGTGACTGTACATTTCATATTATATTTTTTTCCTTATATCAGTGATTTTAAATCTCCAGAATTAGGTGCTTTGCTAACTGTCTTCAGAAAATTGTGTWAACATTCTTTCATTCTGTAGATGAGGAAACAGAGAACAGGGACGTGGGCTAGCTGTACTAGATCTCATTTATATATTGTAACTAAGCAAATGCTAAAACTAATTTTTCCTTAYACCTCTGAAGGGGATTTTTCTACCATGCACACCTCTCATTTACTTCTCATAAACAAGATCTCATAGTCTTGTTAAAAATTGTGCAGGATCTATGAGTTTGCCCTACTTGCAAAGTAGTAGTTTTGTCCACCAAAGTTTCGTGGATATTAAAAGAAGACAGGAGWCTCCTTGGTCAGAAACAAAAGACTTTATTACAATAGTGGCAGCTTGAAGAGTAGCACTTTCTTTTGCTTTTTACCTGATTTCCATTTCCCACAAGTCAATACCAGGAGGGTCCATGTGACAACTTCTCACCTAAATGGTAGTTGTACAGAAAAGGAAGCATACTATATGTGTGTACATATGTACATATTTATGTKTATATAATATACATTACTAAATAATAAAAACTAAACTATCAGTCCTGCATGTCACAAGTAATGTGTGATACAACTTTAACCAGAATGTGACTTAACTTTAGAAAAGTGATCCTTTCAGTGCTTTTGAGGTCCCCTTTTCATGTTCCTCCCTAATTATCTTCTCTCTGTGAATATAATCATTGTCCTAAATTCTTTACTTTTTTCTTGATTTTCTCAATAATTTTCAACATGTGTGTATTTTCCTAGTACTGTCCTATGATACATAGTTTATTGTTAGCCTGTTTTAAAATATGTATCAGTGGATTAATATTATATGATTTTTTGTGACTTGATACATATTTCAAAACAAGGAAAACCTAATGGTATTGTATTTTTAATATTAGTTCACGTTGATGCTCATAGCTTAGATTACTTTTTTTCCTTGATGTCTACTCTTCCATTGGATAACTAGTTAACCTTTTCTGTCTCTTCTACTTTGAACAACAGTTAGCTTGTTTCCAGCTCTCCTGTGTACAAATGCAAGAAAATTTGTCTGCATTTAAAAATGATGAGACAGCAGTCTTAAGATACTTATGTTTTTGGGCTGGGGCTGTAGCTCAGTGGCAGAGTGCTTTCCTAGCATGTGTGAGGCACTGGGTTCGATCCTCAGCACCACATAAAAATAAACAATTAAAATAAAGGCATTCTGTSGATTTACAACTACAATTTTTTTTTAAAAAAAGATACTTACATTTTTCAACTTTAGTAGGTAGAGTTTAATTACTTTTAAAGTGACCAGTTTACCCATCTACTAAGACTCAAAAATTTCTGTTGTATAATATTCTTAACAACTTTTGAGATGTCTTTTTTWAAGTTCTGATAATATGAAATTGTTATCATTATGTTGAATTCGTTTTCTTGGTTACTAAAGGGGTTGAGAAATTTTCATTTATCACTGATCAGTGATAAATGAAAATTCTTGGTCCCTTTTCTCTGAAATGCCTTGTAACATCTCTTGTCTAGTTTTCATTTGTCTGTTTGACTTCCTAAATTTTGCTTTTTGTATTTAAGTCCTTGATCCACTCAATTGGTTGTTGTCTGTGGTCTATGACTTTTTTTTTTTAAATGTTCCAGTAGTATCCCATCATCATTTATTGAATACTGCTCCTTTCCCAAGGATGTGCAAAYTTCTGTATGTGGTCTGATCTGTTCTGCACTCTATTCTGTTCCTTTGGTTGTTTGTGTGAAAATCTTAATTGAATGACATGGCCTTACTTACTTTTTTTAACTTTAYAAATGCTTTTGTTAGGGGAAGACTAACCTCATTTTTCCCCCTTTGGGAATGTTTTGACTATTTTGACTTCCAATATATTCTTTAGAAATAGGTTGTAAAATCCCTTGAAAACTGTTGCAATGATTACTCCAGTAGATTTGAATGTGTAGATCATTTTGAAGAAAATTGACATCTTTGTAATAATGGTTCTGCTTATCCTTGAGAATTTTACGTTTCTCCATTTATTGGGGTCTTCTTTTATATCTATATGGTTTAAAATTTTTATTTATGAAGATGTTGTACATCCATTATTTAKATTTAATTCTAGATTATTAATACATTGTTGCTAAGCATCTTTTTTTGAAAACTGTTAATTATATACTGCTGGTGTATGAAAATGCAGTCAATTTTTGTGTTGATCTTTTTATCTGGCAGACTCATTTAGCTCTTTTATTTATTTTAACAATTGTTCTGGGAATTATTTTAGATMTATGCAAAAAATCGTTTGGCTTGTGACAAGTGAAAAAGGATTTCTTTCCCCCTTTATATTCTTTTAYTCTTTCTTTTCCAATTCTTGTTAAGTGGTTGATTGTGTTATTAGGCAACTATCTTCTTGCCAATTTTAGACAGTTTGCTTTTTTAATTTTATTTATTTTTTATATGTGGTGTTGAGGATCCAACCCAGGGCCTTGCACATGCTAGGCAAGCACTGTACCGCTGAGCCACAACCCCAGCCCAACAGTTTGCCTTTTTAAAATCAGTTTAAAATTTGGAAGAACTTTGGATTTACAGAATGTTGAAAAAAGAGTACAGAAAGTTTCCATATACACTTAATCTAGGTTCCTCTGATTTTAGCATCTCATGTAACAATGGTACATTTGCATAGCTAAGAATTTAACAYTTGCTCAATACTATTAACTAAATTACAGATTTTAATTGGATGCTAGCAGTTTTTCCACTTCAAGTCCCTTTCAGGATATGCACATTGCATTTAATTGTAGTGTCTCTTTACAAACTGAATCTGTACAAATYTGAACTTTGTATGTTTCTCTCTTGTGTTTTTTTACTTGATGGTTTTGAAGAGTGCTGGTCATGTATTTTTTTTTTTTTGGTAGAATGTCTCTCAATTTAAACTTTGCAAATCTTTWCTCATGATTGCACTGAAGTTATGAATTTGGAGGGAGAATTCCAAAGGTCATTTGTCCTTGTTGTCATWCCAGAAGGCACATGCTGTCAATCTCACTTATCATTGCTGATGTTAACCTGGTTACTGAGGTATGGCATTATCTCCAGGGTTTCCCCCTGGTAATGTAATATATTTCACTTGCTAGAATGTTATTTGGAGTTATGTAACTTTAGTCTCATCTGCCTTTAAGGAGATAAAGCTCTACCTCCTAAAATTCTTTAATAAAGAAGGTTTTTAGTTGCTTACCTGCCTGCCTGMCTGCCATCCTTCCTTCCTTACCTCTTCTAAGATTTTAATAATATTTGTTGTATTCTTTGAAATCATAGGTAATATAGAAGCAATGTTTTATCAGTCCTGAGCTGGGGATTGAGCCCCCGGGTGTTCTATCAATGARCTACATCCCCAACCCTTTTATTTTACTTTTAAGATAGAGTCTTCTTAAGTTATGAAGTCTGGCCCAGCATTTGTGATCCTCCTGCCTCAGCTTCCAGATTACTGAGATCACAGCTGTGCCCCCACCATACCTGGTTAGAAACAATTTTTAGACTTACACACACACACACACACACACACATATTCTCTCTCTCTTTCTCTCCCTCTCTCTCGACTTTCTAAGAAATGCATTTTTTATTACAGATTTTTAAATTAATTGTGTTTTGATAAAGATTTTGGCCTCTTTGTATGATTTGAAACTTAAAATTTGCTTTATTTGCTTTGGATATATCATTATTCCCAATAGGTTTAAAAATGATGCATTTTCTTCAGTTGTGGGGTAGAATTCAATATATGTCCATCACATAATTTTTGGCAATTTTGCTGCTCATTGCATATGAATCTTACCTTATTTTGTTTCTTCTTGATATATCTTGATATTATTTCTTGATATTCCTTCTTGATATATATTATCTTTCTAAGAGAGATGTATTAAATTCTCTCAATATAGGATAAGTAGATATATCAGTTTCACCTTGCAGGTGTGTTAATATGTGTCTTAAATCTTTTAAAAGTACATCAGTCAATGCAT